AAAGTCTTCATGTATCTACAAAAGATTAATGTGAACATTTTTCAATATGAATTGATTCTAAAATAGGTTGGTTCACTATCTTCATTATATCGATGAACTGAAATAAAGGACTTCCATTTTTACATTGATTTTTGTTGAAAATGCTTCAAATATATAAAGAAAAATACTCTCCCGCATTCATATCCTATTCTTCACTGATGTACAAGGAAAAAAACAGATTTTCAATATAACACAATATTTTTATATTTGATTTGTTAAATTTTCTTTTTGATTAATTATATTATTATTAGCACAACGACTAAGTAATTCACCAATTGTATTTGGATTTATTTGTGAATTATTGACAAAAAATCGAAATCAATTAGATTTAAGAAAAAGAAAAACATTACTTACCAGCCAAAAGGATTTAAACTTTTATTTCTTCAAAATTTTAATTCTTACAAATTGGAAAAATTTTCTAGAAATTTCAGCTAATATAAATTAAATTTTATCATTGTAATAATATTTAAAAAATAAAACATAACAAAATATACTGTTTTTAGGGCGAATGAGAGCCACAATACAAGTGAGGGTAAGAATACAGATGAGGGTGAGTGTAATGTCCTGCACAAGTACGACGTTTTGTACTCAGATCTGATCCGACACCTTTTTTTTTGTACCTGGGCCCGACCCGAACTCGAATAGCTGTATTCGGTACCCGGCCGAACCATGTTCGAAGTTATTCAGCATCCAGAAGACACTTTCAATCGTAGTGTGGTTTTCAAAGTTTTACTTTATACCAACAAGAGTACTATTGAGTTCCTTCTGTAAATAGCAACAAAAAAGAGATTTTATCCGACATTCGATAAAAAAAGCGTGTGAATCAAGTGAATTAGGATTCATTTGATGTCTTTCTACTTCTGAAATTCGATCAATTTCGCCAAATATAGTTTTGGTTGTTGCTGATGAAGCTGAAATAGAACGTAGTCTTGACACCAAACATTATACTTATTGATACATAGATAAATGCTTTTCTCATCAGGAAAATACATGTTCGCCTTTGTGAAAGCTTATTTTCTTCTTGATATATATTCAATTATTGGATCACATGGTATTTCAGTATCTATGGGTAAATTTTCAGTAAAAATGAGCTCTTTTAGCAAAATCGATATTGCTTCCTATTCATTTAATCTCTTCTCAAGTTCAGTCTATTGTTCGATCATGATTGAACTGACTTTCAATTCTATACTTTTATATTAATAGCAGTTTGAAAAAGTCAAGATTTTTCAAAACTTCAAGATCTGATTAACTGCCGGATCGGGTCCAGATATGATCTCACATCGATACTCGATCAGAGAACTTTTTTTCATAATTTGTTTTTGTTTTTTAAAACTCAAAAATCAACGCTGAGAAATTTAGTAAAAGTTCAAAATAATTTGAAATTTGCCACGGCTTCAAAAAACAAAGATATTTATTGTAATGATTAGTTAATAAAAACAAATAAGAAAAAAATCTAAATTGATTCATTATAAATCATAGAGACTTAGTTGTGAGACATACTAACAAATTTATTAGCCATATGTGTAGAAAAAAGTAAATCAGAAATGCAAAATCTATCTGCGTGCAAGAAAAATTATTCAACGAAACTTTACGAGACATATTAGTATTGAAGGAAAACTTATTGAAAAATAATGCATGTCTCATAATACATGTCGTACTTTTTTTTTCTATCTTTAAAAAATTTAACATTTGTTCAAATTGTAGTTCTGATCTCGCTGTCTAGAGAATTGAATTCTCTAGAAAACTATCGAGTTTGTTTTTTTCGGAGACTTTTTCTATGCAGAGATAAACTTTATGAGATTAATAATCTATTGAATTGTCAAATTACGAATTCCTATTTTTCTACGGATGAAAAATGATTCATTTGAGCGTGTGCACATCAAAGTCGATGTTCCAAATTAAGTATTGTAAACTAAAAGATAGAGAACTTTTTTACTTTACATATTCAAGATCTTATTATTTTTCTTAGTATACTATTCAGGAGAAAAATAAAGTTGTGGACTAACACTTAAAGGTATTTTTGGATGCATTATGAAAAATTATTTTATGACAAGTCAAATCTGTCCTATAAAATGCTGATTCTTGTACCATCTGATACACAATTAAATTCTGAACAAAATAGTGCATGTGTTCATTTAAATAGTTGAAACATTTCCACTACTTTAAATCAATCAATAACAGTAACTGAAATTTGTCTGCAACCAGCTTTTTTCGATATTTTATATTTCGAAATTTTTTCTCCTGTATATTTGTTTTAACACTTTGAAAGCTACGTCGACAGATGCAGAATGTTATGTAGAATACTGTAGCATATTTCAAATTTTAACTGGTCCATTTCTAAAAATGTCTCTATAATTCTTTATGTTTTTTTATTTTCGCAGTTGTACGATCGAGTAGATGTTAATATCGCTAGCTTTGCTCTGGCATGGAAAATCGATTTGGAAAATGAAATTGAAAGTTTTGTAGAGAATTTAATTTTCTATTTATTGGCATAAATTACAGCATTCGATTTCTTAATTAAAAATCCATGTTTTTATAGCTGTTTTTATTTTTGTTTTTTTTTATAATTTTCATATGTAATCTTTATTAAATTTTTCTTATGATATTCGAATGAAGTTTGCCATCGTATTAGGAAACTGATCTTTCAAAGGGTATGGTTATTTGTGTAGGGTCTGGATGTGGAATGTGAGCGTCGATGTGGGTGGGTATTGGTGTTGGCGTCTCTCTATCCATGCCCATACCTACTCACATCTACACTCACATTCCCACAGATAATAAAACACATGTTTATTTTGTATAGAAATAGCATGTATGGATTGTTGTTGAGGGATGCAAGAGATGGCGAGGGGATACGAAAAGCTTATATAAAATACGATGGGCAACGATATTGTGTACGATCGTTTACAGTGGTCGTATACAACACGACGATACACGGTCGTGATTCTGGCGTCAAGTAATACGGCGAAATACGAGTGTTGGTGTGCATCTGGTTTAAGTGAATATTCGCACTCACGCATCGACGTTGGAAACAAATGATCGAACGACGAAAAAAATAAAATAAAACTTTTTAAAATGTATTAAAATGTTTTTTTTCCTTTGTTTAATTTTGATATTGAGTCATTTGAGCAAGCAAAGATTGAGATGTAGTAAATATTCCTTTCACCTAAATAAAAACTAAGTAACTTTTACTATGTTAGGTATATGTGTATTGTCAGATATTACAATCATTTAATATAACAAAAGAGAGCTTCTTCAATAAAATACTTTCTAATATAAACGAAGAGAAAGATTCAAAAAGAATGTCGATCGATCATTTCAAAGCATTGACAAGGTAAGTTGCTTTATGCAAGCCGATTATCATTGAAGTTGCGATTTGACTGAGAGATCAACTTTTTAGTATAACTATCCAGGAGCACTCTCTGTTTTCCAGTAAAAATAAACTGTTGACATGTAACTTTACTCACATTAAAGAATCAATTCGACTAGCTTATCCACAGCGTTCCAAAATTTTCGGATAAATAATCTCGACAATGTTGATTTTTCAAAATCGGGTGTCAGCATTCTTCTTCCTGAACATTCCATTTTCAGACGACGACAACACATTCCAAACTACGTTTTCTAAAATTTTATATTTATCGAGATGTTCAAACAACTGGGTCAACCGTTTGTTGTTACACGTTTCCATACTTAGAACCGAACCGATCAGTTTTTTATTGACTTTTAGAGCACTAAAGCTGACCTATTTTGTTTGTTTTTAACGGTTTCCATGGTCTTAATGATCAAGAGATATGAGTCTGGATGTCTCCAATTGACAAATTTCTCGTCATCGTCAAAACTTCAGCTCGTAATATTGAGTTTATATTTTTTCATCATACGAAGAGAACTTCGGATCATGCTCAATGCACTTACTATGCTCAGGAAAAGTCAGCCAAGTATTAAAAGTTAATTTTGGTCTTAACTAAAAACATTTGCAGCTCGAAATTTCGAGATCACTTTTTTTGACTACTTTTAATCAACACTCATGAAATTATAATAGCTAGAAATTTTCATTTCATGCTTTCATGAGAAAATATCAGAAAAAATTCCGTTCTGTTGTCAAGATCTTGCCAACAGCTAGCGTCATGCAATTGTGAAAATATTTAGATATTAAGAAACCTTAAAAAAGAAAGTCTAATCTTAAAATTGTACGTTTTAGTTCATTTTGTTTCTGTCGGCTATAGTATCCTTTTGCAAATTGACATGTCTTTCAACTGTGTTAAATAATTATTTCAAATATGAATAGATCAAACTTATCAATGGTAAAGAACTCATATCATTATTAAAAAGTTACGCAAGACATAGTATAAGCATTCGTTACTCTGAGTTAGTAAATGAAACATTTTGAAAGAAATCTTCGTTCGTTCTTAATGTGAACACATTTGAAACCTGGTAGACTAAAATAGGAGTTGCTACCATTAGAAAATCCAAGGGATATATGAGTTTCACATTGTATGTCTTTGTAGAACTGAAGTAATAGACTGTTTCTGGAGAGAACTGATTGGTTAATTAATATATTAAATGCACCGGTTTCCTGGTAACGGAATTCAAAAGTAACAACGGTACTCCAAAATATTCAAGCATAAGCTATGAATAAGCTAGTCTAACTATATTGATGCTTTGATGTGGGCAAAGTTTGATTTTACCGTAAAAGTTGAGTACTTTAAGGCAACTACACTAAACAGTCGTTATCTCAGTAAAATAGCAACTTGCGCTTAAATCGTCTTATGATTTTTCTGGCACATGCATTTCTTGAGTTATGGATGAAACTCGAACTCGAAAATTGTCCAACAGCTGGAAAGTTTCCATCGTAAATTTTAAACCTAATGTAACTATTCGAAATTCAAATTATAGATAATAAATCAATATATATATATGTGGATAGATACAAACCATCGTTTTTGAATAATTTTTCTTTCTCTCCTTCAAAGAATATTATAATATTGTATATATACCTTGCAATGATTTTTTACAAATTGTTGGATAACTGAAGAATTCGTTTTTGATTTTCCATATATATAAATATCTTTCACTTGAGTAAAACCATGAAAATATGAAATAATTGGGAAGGGAACTGTTGTTGAAATCACCAAAAGTAATTTTTCTTCATTGATTTTATTAATATTATTCATTTCACCTATTCGTTTAATATATCGTTCACATGCATCAACTTGATCAAATATTCGAAGATAATTAATAACATTTTTTAGTCTTATTTGAGTATCAATACTATCTGGTCGATTATTCATTTCTGTATCAAGCCAAACAAGTGTTAAGTTATCCATCTTTGATGATAATATATCATTTGAGAAATTTGAATGAACGAATGTTGATAAAAAAGCTTCTTCTTTTCTCAATCTTTCACTAGCTATTGATCCGTTCGAACTTGATGAGAACGCTGATAAAGTTTCATCTTCAAATTGTACAAAATTATCATGATCAATCTCATATTTACCACTTTTTGATCCCATTCTATTCAAAGAAAATGTCAATAATGTCTTAAGGCATTTTGTATTTGTTCTACGTTTTTTTTTCTATTTTGGCCAATTTTATGTTCTCATATTTATCGATACAAGTCATAAAGATATTTGGTGAAGAGAGACTTTGATTGATGTTTATGATCGAATGAAAAAAGAAAAAACTAATCTAACATTTATTTTTTTTTATAGAAGACTTTAATCAAACATTTGTTTCAAGCATAGTTTTTCTTACAAGAATTCGTTCATTCATTAATAATGAATGTTTATACTGAAGTAATTGCCAACGAAAGATCAAGTGCATATAGATTAAGAGTGAACCCACGCATGGCGGGACAGTTTACGCTTCCATGATCGATACTTGATATGCATTAAGTTAGTCTACGAAAATTAACCAAACGCAACGTAGTCGAAAGATTTTTTTAATGAAAGACTTTCTGTTAAACAAATAAGTTCAACAGATGCATAGAAAATAAGAGATCGAAGTTCCCTGACAATCTGTATTTTATTAACAAAGGGTGCATATTTCTCTAATACATACATGTTATTATAAGCTTCAATTTCTTTTTACTATTAGAATTATTACTCCAATAGATTGTTAATAAGATATATATTAACTTAAGTGCTATTAAAAAGTTCAAACAAGTAAAAGATGTTAAAATAGTATTATACGTCTGTCTTATTTGATTACACACGTGTATCTAAGATCACTATTATGGACAACTAGAAAACATCGTCCATCGTTTATAAACTGTCATTCTTTCATTTTACATATGTATAAATTAATTGTTCAAATACCAATTGCGTGAAACATTACTATGTTAATATAATAAGCGTCGATTTGATTTTGACATGTAAGAGTTCAAGCTCGTATTTACAAAAACAGTTTTAACTCATTTATTAAAAAGTTTTCTCCAATGGTTTTGGTAGCGAGTTTTCTTACTTTAACATGGTTAACTGCTGCAGAAATGTATCTGAAGCACAGGAATTTGATGATTATCGTTAAAATAAACTGATTATTATACTGCTTTTTTACCAAATGGTAGCTGTTTGACATACTGTTGATCTTCATCAAACTTCAATTCTGAGAATATAGACATCTTCATTCGATTCGATTTATTTTCGATCTCTCTTAAAAAATACTGTTGATGATGCACATTTAGTTGATTTAAAATCAACATGTAAATACAAATTGAAACAAGTTGTCATGAATGATTTAAGAGATACTAGTTACAATAATCGAAGAGTGAGAATTTTATGTTCCTAGATTGACAAATGAGCACACGAATAATTGTACAAGAAAACGCTCTACAAAACAATATCTCTGTAAAAAAAAAAAAAAAAGAAGCTTTTTATTCGAGTATGTGTAATGTTAAACTAGAATCATATCAGAAAAATGAGCCAATAACTTAAAATAACATGAAAACTGACTTGTTTGACAGAGACAAGGCTTTTCAAAATGAAAAAATACTTTGTGAAATAATAAAAAGCTCTTTTTATTCAGACTTAAACTAGTGGGGTAGGTAGACGGAACTTGCCTCTAAATTCCGAAAAAGTTCTGAGCTTCTCTACAAGCAATAGAATTCTACTTAAAAAAAAGAAGTTCATCCCATCTATAAGCGTTACCACATGGTTCTTTTCTCCTCTAGAGACATGACCAAAGAGTCAATTCCCTGCCGACAATTTTTTTCTGGTTACACACTAACTCTAACTGTCTTTCATTTACTTCTAGTCTTTGTCTGGTGAAAATTTCAATTTCAATTTCGATGGGAACATATATTTGACAATGTGATGTATTGACTAGTATAAACAAGAGCAATATCAAATTATTTTTAAAAATTATCTTTTAAACGTAAAATCACTAAAATTCACAAATAAAACCCATCATATTACATTCAATTATGTGAGAAGTTTCTTGAAATAGAATCATCAATCTTATAACCAATATTAAAAGAACTATGAGAATTAGCATTATTGGAAATTATGTTTTAATATGATTTCTTGACATGACGGAATATTTAAATAAAATGATTTGTTAGTTAAACTTCAAGCTATGTATTGATATTCATGATTTTCTTTGAATTGAATCACTTCTGTTTATATTGTCTGTTCTGTGCTACAACACGGATGTTGTTTCTTCGCTCAAAGAAATGTGAAGGTTAAATGTTATCATACAATAATTCAGCTAAATCAAATTCAATGCAACCATTTATTAACCAAAAGAATTGTACCCTTGAGAATCATTTTTTATATCTATTCTCCTTTACCACTTTCGTTGTTTTTGTTGTTGTTAAATAAAACATCATCATTTAACATGAGTGATTGAAAACTTCAACTAGAATATACACAAGCAATAAAATGATGGCAAAAATACAGCCTCTCAGTGACAATTTGAAATATTAGTAATTCCTAATACAATATAAGCGGTATCTGTTTAAGTGATAACAAAAGTAGTGAAGAAGGTATTTTAATTCCATGTAGAAAAAAGGAAACTTTTTTTGTATCTACTCTGAGAGTAAAAACAATTCTCTACAGTTGTTTAACCTTTGGTCGTTCTTCAACCAATATGATTTTGATAAGAGCTAGTTTTAATGATATATGATGGTAATATTATATGACATTTTGCCTTCAACGTATGTGTTTTGCCCGTGATGTTCTTTTGTCCTTCTTCTGTTCTGTTGTTTTTTATTTTCATCTTGTCTAATGTCTAATCGTCTATATATTAGGGTACACACATAAAAATGGTGGTGATAGAACAAAAAGAAAATGCAGAAACAAGTTTATCAAGTCTTTATTTCATTCAACTTTCGAAATAATCCTCCTGTTATTAAAACTCAATTGCATTCGTTGAATGTATTTATCGAAGCTATTTTTTTACATTATTCTTTATTCAAAGAATTCATAAACTTCTTTATAGTACGATGCAACAATTTAGAGCTGTTTTGATCTCTTTGATTTGGTTTGATCAAGTCGAACATTCAAAAGTGACATAGCTCCAGATTCAAAGCATTACTTAAGTAAAAATTGGATGAACTTGTTTTTATTTTATTATCAACACTTTTTGCGTGTACTCAAACACGTATAGATGACTAAGCATCACAAAAGACGGGCAAAAGAAAAAATTAAAGAGAAAAAGACATGAATCGAGGATAAAATATAATTTGATTTATTATTACAAGATTCGCTGAAGAATAACCAAATACCAGACAAATCTAGGTCATTGTTTATAGTCATATATTATAAGGAGAGAAACTTTCTTGAAGCTCGTAATAAAAAGTTAAAACACCGCCGCTTTGGTTTTTGAGATACTCCAAGTCATTGTGCCTTTTAGAAGGGCTTCTCAAATCGCGATACAACGACACAAACCATCGATTCCGACGTGTAAAACTCCATTTGATATTCACTATTGTTCTTACACTTTCCATTTTTCGCATGAAAGCAGTGCAAACGAATTTGTAAGGACGAAAGAAATGCCGTGCCCTTCTGCACTTCACCTGCGTCCTGTGATTTCTTTAGACAATCATTTATGTATCGTTACTGGCAGATGGGTACACTAAATTACTTTGCAGATCTGTGAAGAGTTCCTGAACATGTAAGATCAGCGAAAAGTTCACGCATAACTGACTATTCCAGGTTAGTTTTTTTTACATAAGATTCTCTTTGAGAATTGGAATACCGGAGTAAATTCCACGTTAATCCTAGATCGACCCTTGAGAATGTTTGAAGCGGATCTACATAAGCTGATTTTAGAAGTATCGATATTCAAGTCGTAATAGATATTTTCTGTTCACCTTTGTATGAAGATCATGGTTATCGTCGTAGATTGAAAACCGCGTTGTGAGCATACCTTGATTCTCGCCGGTGATTGTAAGCCGCAAAAGTCAAAACCTTTAGTCAGCTTTGGAAATTGTTCAATACTGCTGTCTGGGAGTGACACAGTTTCGAACAGCTTTGCACTAGCAGATAAATGGGGTGACTTTTATCATTTTCAATCATCGATGATAACAGCAGTTTTATATAGATCATTTTTTACCGATGTTTTTGGGAAAAATTTATTCGTGAGAGATGTTTGCATTGGAACGAAATCTAAACTTTATAATCGAATATTGTATGCAACAGGTCGATATATATCATTAATAAAATCTTAGAGGAAGTTACGATGCTGACTTTATTTTACGTTGAAATATTAAAGTATTTAAATAAAATGATTTGCTTTTATCATATTTGTACGAGTAGATTTGGTTTTTTCAAGTCAGCAGAGTTGGAATGAAATGAAAAATGAGTCATTCGTAGTTCAGTACAGTCTAAAATCAGCTGTTTTATTTCGCTGTACTTTTTTTATACGAAGATATGAGTAATAAGAAGAACGTAAAAAATATTAATAACTCATTGCAGAAAATTAGCAATATGTTATGTCTTCATATTCATTTTCGTCATGAGTAACACAAAGACCATCACGAAATTTGAATCCTTACCAAATGAAATCTTCATTGAATGCTTTCAATATCTCAATGCAACTGATATATTCTATTCATTTGATCAATTGAATTATCGTTTTTATCGACTTATTCGAAACATTCCATTGTATTTAAATTTGAAAAATGTTCAAAAATTCATGTTTGATCAATTCTGTAATAAAATATTAATAAATTCAGGTATTAAAAGTCAAATATATTCTTTATATTTATCAAATACTAGTATATATAATCAAATACACACGTTTCTATCACTTTTTCCGCTTGATCAATTTTCTCATCTACAATCATTATCATTAAATGAGCTTGATGAATATACTATACAGAAATTTATACAAATGATACCATCCTTATATAATCTGCGTTACTTTCATTTTATGAATTGTTCGTGTGAAATTACTCAAATGTTAGTTTCACTTACAACATCTACTATACAAACATTATCGATACCAAAACTAGAACTAATTTATTTTGGATCCATCAATCAATTTACATCAATTGTTAGTTTGGTCATTTTTTATTGTTACATAGAGAAATTGTGTCAATTTTTCAAATACTTTCCTAGGTTAAAATATTTACACATAGAACAATTACGACAAAGGATTCACTTGAAAGATTTTGATTTATATCAAATTGATGACTATGTCGCTATTGATTTAAAACACTTGATTATTAATCATTCAATTATACGATTGGATTTTCTTGAAATACTTTTTAAAAAAACACCAAATCTGAAAACTTTATTCTTATATATTTATGGTAATATTGAATTAATTGATGCTTGTCGTTGGCAACAATTGATAACATCTTTAATGCCTCGTTTAAAAATCTTCAACTTCTTATTTAATGTGTCATTGAAATCACAAAATGATATTCTTAATAAATGTCAAAGTTTCCAAAATGATTTTTGGCATGAGAAATATCATTGGTATACTGATTATGAAACGACAAATCACAGCGCACTCATTTATACAACACCTTATTTATCAAATGATTATACATTATATCCAAATACGAAGAAATATCATAGCAAATCGATTAGTAATTTTAATACATATAACAATGTTACTACATTGCGTTTGTATTTAGAAGCATTAATAGACTTTAATCAAGATTATTTTGACAATGTGAAATCATTAATATTAACTTGTCGTTTTTATGGTAGAAATCATACTTATTTGCATCTAAAAATACAAGATATAGAATATCTTAAAATGATTATGAACTTGTATAATTTGACTCATTTGGAAATATCGTTGTTGTGTAGATTGGAATCGCCGTTAGTATTATTAAAACTATTAAAAGAAGCTCCAAATATATTATCATTGAAAATTCATGATAATAGTTTATTTTCATCACTCGATAATCAAGAATTATGCAAATATTTAAATAAAACGATTAAAAAATTAGATGTTTCTAGTCTGGGGCATATTTTATTTTGTGACAATAATAAAATAATACAATTTGGCCAAATATTTTCAAATATTCAGCAACTTCGATGTGATATAAATGACATGGTTGATATATCGTTTTTATTCAATGCATTATCAAAATTACCAAATTTTAATGTTTTTTTCTTTCGTACAAATTCTATTGTAGTAGATATCAATTGCTGGATAGAGGATTGCGAAATTGAACTAGATACATATTCATTTGCCGTAAAATATGAACCCGCTGTAAACAATATTGAATATCGATCGGCTTATCGATGTTTACATGATAATGATGATTCTTCGTCTAATGATTATTATTGTAGTGATGATGACTGATAGTGTTGCCTTATTTGCATGAACAGAAATATGAATTAATGGTTTTTGTTGATTTTTTCTTAATAAAAGAATAAAATGTAGATATGGAAAATGATCAAGCGCTAAGCCTGACCTGAAAATATTTTTTTAAAATTTTCTAACTGTTAGTTTTTGCTGATTCAAGATTATTCTTGTATTTATCATTACAATGTCTTTCTTCAAGATCCATTCAACAATTCTTTGATAGTATTGTCCTACGTTTATATTTGTTTAGTTAGCTTCCATAGAAAAAGTTCAGTTATATTGATTAAACAATCAACTATAAAATGACTGTATTGATCTGTCTTTCCTGATAATGCATCATTAGGGAAACCTGCATGAGCTAATGTTAGCAAAGATGCCTCTTTTTTCAATCTTTCATCAGCTATTCATCCATTCGAATTTGATAAAAATAAAGTTTTATCTTCGTCTTGTGTAAAATAATCATGATCATCATTCTATTCGAAGAAACTGTTAATAATGTTTTCAGGCATTTTGTATTTGTTTTACGCTTTTTTTTATTATTTTGGTGAAGAGGGACTTTGATTGATGTTTATAATCAAATGAGGAACAAAATTAATCTGATACTCATTTTATCTTTGTAGGAGAATTTATTTCAATATTTTGTGTCAAGCACAATTTTTCTTGAAAGAATTTGTGTGCAAGGTAGAATGCTCAAATTCTAGCGTAGAGTAAATCTAGACATCTAGTATAGATGTTGTAAATATCGGTGGATTCTACTGAAAAAAAAACCATAAGAAAAGAATATTATTTGAAAGGGATCAAAACTTATTAGATACTATTTTATGTTTGTATTAGACTCTTGCTGTACTTGCACATGGATTACTAGACCTTGTAATCTGTGTATTCAAGTTGTTTGAACAATTGTTGGTGAATATCGTTTACAGCATCTTATGAAGATTAACACTGAGAAATCAATTACAATCTCTCCTCTGAATGAAACACAATATAAATCATGGTTGAGCGAAGAACAATATATTCTTTTTAAGTTCAAAGAAAAAATACGATTGGCAACATACAAGATAAATCAGATGAAAAGAACATTTTGTCAGAAATACTTACAGTTATGTAATCAAAATAGTTAATCTATAATAGAAATACAGTTTGATTCATTCATAGTCTCAAAAGTCTCTCCAGCAGAAATTGTATAGATTAAGAAAGAGATATTTTTAAAGAAATTTATCTCGATTATTGAATACACTATAATTCATGAGCAGACAAATCACATAAATACAAAATTAAAAACCGTAGTAATCAGTTGAAAAAGATAAAATTTGTTCTTTATTTCTTATTTAACACTATCTGAAGAGTAATACCGAGTTTCTTAGCTCTTGATCGCGCTGCTTCAGTTATGGGGTGCAGGTGTATAAATATAATATATATCTACACATACACCCACCTACTCCCATATCCAACCGAGATCTTTTCCTCTAATTTCGTTGATTCAACGTTAATGAGTTTTTTTCCGGGATCATTTTCACTTAATTTGAACTCGGAGAAAGACGAGCTCAGTCTCATCATTTTTTGGACTAATTAAGCACTCCGAGATCAATTCAACGCTATCCCGATATTTATGTTTCGATTAATTAGTTGATTGAAATCAGAGAAATTTTGTAGAGTAGCCATTGTAGAATTCATTACTAACAGATCTCTATTAACCGGTATTAGCATGTTACTATCGACTGCGGCGAACTACTTTAATGACTACTTCGCATCTTAAAAATAATATTCTTTTCTAGATGAAATTATTTGCAAAATAGTAATCACTTATTTCTCTTTCTCTATTAACTTAGTTGATTAATATTTCTTCATTACAAATCTGTCTCATGAAAAAAAAACCCATCGTTACTTTCAACTGAGTAAAATGCATCATTTTCGTCGTATTCGTACTCACTACCGTAGTTTCACTAGTTCTATTCCCACAAATATTTTTTATAAAACCAGCTATAAACAAAATAATATTTGTAATATGGCAGAATGGTGATAGCTCAAACAAAATTCTAAGTAACAATTGACTTTTTGATTCAAATGAAGCTTTAAATTTATCAAGTTATGTATGTGATAAATATAGACCACAAGATAATCATTCTTCAATTTTTTTTTCTTCTTATTCCAAAAAATACCAATTTCAGTTAATGTCTGGAAACGAGCTCACAATTATAATGAATCTGACATAGGTTTTCTTATATTTACATCTTCAAAATTGTATGAGACAAGAGTAATAGCTGTTTGAGATACATGACTTTCTCGTGTTACGCATAAATATTTTCTTAGTAAAACATCTTATTCATGGTTGCCAGTTAGTCTTATCAAAGAAGCACGTAAAGAAAAATTATTTAATATGAAGAAAACTTTTTATGGTTTACAAATCGTTTATAAACGAGAACAAAATTTATCGAATCCACATAAATGGTATTATGTTGCTAGTTGTGATACTTATGTTAATGTTCATCATGCATTTAAAAGATTAGATCCATATGATAATACAAAATCATTTTTTACTGATGGTCATAATCGTAAAACAACATGTCCAGATAGTACAAAAACGCTTAAGAGTGAGTTTCTGACAGACTTAGGCACCGACGATGGTGAGATATCTCAGAATTTGCTGATTTTTTTTCATATGTTGTAGAGGGCAGTGAGTTTAGTATTCTCTGAAATTTTCAGCTCGATCTGATCATTTTTTCCTATGCAAATAGTCAAAATACTAATGGAATTTTTTATAACTTTCAATAATAATTTTTTTTATCGATTTTCAGGTGATTTTTCTGAGTAAAATTGACTTTCGTATCTTAATTTGTCACATTTTCGTCTTCTCGTTTTTCTAACTATAACTATTAAGGTATTGTCCTTCTGCACAGAAAATTTCCGGAGTTTTCGTCAATCCTCTGAGGACATCTGAAATACTATTTAAATAGTCTATTTTGTCCTTTTTTCTGCTTTTTTGCCAAAATGTCACTCAATCGCATTTTATGCGCCAACAATCGATTGCTCTCATATTTCTACCAGTGATAGAGCGTATCAAGTTTTATCACCTAGGATAACAGACAATTTTGTCCCTTGAGAAAAATGAAGCACTTTTGATTAGAAGTCATCTTTCCTTATCATTTATGATATGTGCTTGAAGATACTGGTCTTTTTATCATAGCTTATGCCTTCTTGACTTGTTAGTGTTTTCATATTTAGCTATTTCTCTGTTGTGGCTGGTATGATGACATAAGATTTCTAGAACAAATCTTTGACATTTTTATTTTTAGGGAAAGAACGACGGTACATTTAAAAGGGTCATATCCATACATAATAGCATAAAAGGAGCGTATTTCCAGATTTCGATTGTGAAAATATGACTTTTATCGACAATGAACTTGATATTCAGAATCAACATAAAATACTACACCAGAAAACACGTTTTCCATCTTAAAATGTTTCCGATGAAAATTTCGCAATACTCCTCGCCATTTACTCCTAAAATTTTCCCTATGGTCTCCCATAGGTGAAATTTCGACGGAAAATATTTTATAGTG